AGGTTATTGCCAATGTTTTCTTCTAACAGTTTCAGAGTTTCAGGCTTCATACTGAGGTATTTGAACCATTTTTAGTTGACTTTTATGCAAGGTGAAAGATAGAAGTTTAGTTTCATTCTTCTACAGGTGGGGAGGGGGTTTTTTGTTTGTTTTTTTTGTTTTTTTCTTTTTTTTTGGTCTTTTTGAGACAGGGTCTCCCTGTAGCCCCAGCTGTTCTGGAACTCAGTATGTAGACCAGGCTGGCCTCGAACTCACAGAGATCCGTCTGCCTCTGCCTCCTGAGTGCTGGGATTAAAGGTGTGAGCCACCACGCCCGCTGAGATCCAATTTTGCCAGCACCATTTCCTGAATATGCTGTCTTTGCTCCAGTGAATGTTCTTGGCCCCTTTGTCAAATATCAGGTGGTTGAAATTGAATGTACTCATATTTGGGTCTTCAATTTTGTTTCATTGCTCTACGGGTCTATTTTTGTGTCAGTACCATGTTGTCTTTTTTACTATAACTCTGTAATACAGCTTAAAATCTGGTATAGTAATCCCCCTGGCATTGCTCTTAGTGCTCAGGGTTGCTTTGGCTATCTGAGGTCTTTTGTGCGTCCATATGAATCTTAGGATGTTTTTTTTCCAATTCTGTGAAAAATGTCATGGGGATTTTGATTGGTATTTCATTGAATCTATAAATGGCTTTTGATTAGGTGGTCCTTTTCAGAATATTAACTCTTGAATCCATGAGCATAGGAGGTCCTTCCATCTTCTGACATCTTCCTCAATCTCTTTCTTTAAAGATTTAATATTTTCATTGTAGAGCTCTTTAATGTCTTTTGTCAGGTTTATTCTGAGATATTTTATTTTCTTTGCAGCTATTGTGAAGGGGAGTGTTTGGGGAGTGTTTCCATGTACTCTTTCTCTGATTGCTTGTTACTGGTATGTAGAAAGGCTATAGACTTTTGTAGGTTGATTTTGCAACCTGCCACTTTACTGAACGTGTTAATAATTTCTAGGAGTTTTCTGGTGGAATTTTTAGCATCTCTTAGATATAATATCATATCATCTGCAAAAAGGTATAATTTCATCTCTTCCAATTATTACTTTTTTAATTTCCTGCTCTTGTCTTATTGCTCTTGCAAGAGTTTCAAGCACTATATTAAAAAGAAGTGCAGATAGTGGACAGCCTTATCTGATTCCTCATTTCAATGGGAATGCTTCCAGTTTTTCTCCATTTAGAATGATGCTGGCTGTGGGTTTGTTATATATGGCTTTAAATATGTTGAGGTATATTCCCTCCTGTGCCACCCAGGAGTGCAAAGGGAGGTGGGATTGGGAAGAGGCCCCAAGGGCTCCTGGGGACTACTGTGAGGAATTGGATTGGTCTGGATGCAAAGGATCAGAAAACAGTGGGGATTCTGGGCCAAGAGGTCAGTCCAGGGGTCTGTTGTGCCAAGGCAAGAAATGGGCCAGTACCCAGGCTCAGCTAGCATATTTTTAAAGAGAAAATTTCTTTCTTTCTGGTTTAAAAAAAATTTTACTTATTTTTATTTTTGTGTGTGTGAGCACATGTATTACCTACATGTATTTAAGTGCACCCATGTCATAGAGGTCAGAAGAGGGCATTAGGTTCCGCTAGAACTGGAGTTATGGACAGTTGTTAGTCACCATGTGGGTGCTGGAAACCAAGCCTGGGTCCTCTGCAAGAGTAGCTGATCTTCTTAACCACTGTGTTATTTCCATCCCCTCTTTCCAGTTTTTTTGAGACAGGATCTCATATAGCCCAGGCTTGCCTTAAGCTTGCTATGTAGCTGAGGATGACCTTGAACTCCCAATTTTTCTGGCACTAGCTGCCTAGCTGGGATTACATGTGTGCACCACCACACCTGGCTGAGAGTGAATAAAATTTTAAAATAAAGATTTTTACTTATTTTGTTGAAGTAATGTACTTAATTTTTCCTAGTTTACAGATTGTTGGAAACATTAATTGCTTAGTAATAACAGAAGTGACTCCACAGTGTGGCTGGTGTTCATTGTATACTTTGAAAGACACAAATGATAATTTTTCAGTTTCTGAGAGAACAAAAACAGGCCTTAAAATCATCCTAATCTTCTTCTGACTTGAGAAGCAGAAAAATTGTGACGTTGTTGGAGATTACAGAACAGAAACTCATTCAGACTTTTGTGGATGTGACAGGTGTGGACCCTAAAAGGGTAACTGGGCCACTGCTTGAGAAGGGCACTGATCCAGCCCAGTCTAGGGGCCCAGCTACTCCCATTCCTGCACAGCAGCTCTTCGACCGCCCAGGAACAGCAGTCTCAGCTTCTCTTAGACTCTCCTTCTACTACTCCTGTCTCCACCCAACCTTCCAATCCTTTATTTATTTATTTATTTATTTATTTATTTATTTATTTATTTATTTAATTTATTTATTTTCTGGTTTCTGCTTGGTCAGCTTTCTGGCTTAATGAAAGCCCATTCTGTGGCCCACTGCCTAGACCTTTCTCAGCCTCAACCTTTCAGATTGCCCATTCTCCATAGTCTCCACTTTCAATTTCTTTTAAAAAATATTTTACTATTTTTATTTTATGTGTATGAGTGTATTGCCTGCATGTATGTAAATGCACCCATGTCATGCAATGCCCAAAGAGGTCAGAAGAGGGCTTCGGATCCCCTGGAACTAGAATTAGGGATGGTTGTTGTTAGCCTCCATGTGGATGCTGGGAATGAACCCAGGCTCTTTATTAGAGCAGCCAGTGCTCTTAAAAGCTGGACCATCTCTCCAGCCCCTCCACTTTCAATTTCTAAGTGATACTTTGATTGGTGTACTAATGTATCCAAGTTTCACTAGAGTTCTCAAATAATTGCTAATTATCACCTGGCTTGGTGAGACCTACTAGTTCCTGGTTACTTCAAGGACCAGTCTATGGATGAACAGTGGCCCCTCTTGGGTCACATGATCACTCTTAATTAACTGGGGTTGAGGAGAGAACATTTTCCCTCCATAGTTGTATGTGCAACTCCTATAGGAACAGTTTGGGTTTTTTGAAATTCTGGGTACGGTAAGTATATCACACACGTGACAAAATTAAAAGGAACGCAATAGATTGAATTATGAAGGAACTTATTTTGAAAATAACGAAGGGAAACAAATCAAGAACCAGTTTGTCTAAATAAACTCTCTTTGCAGTAGAACAAACTGGCCATCAGGAATGCCGTGTGTTTTGCAAATCAGGTCTCCGCAATCATTCCTAGTTTCTGGAGGCTCATGCTCCTGGCAAACAGAACCAGTATGAGCCGTGGTTTTCCTAGGAGACCGCATTATTCAGCACGTGGCGGGAGGAGGGGGGAGCTTTCTCTTTTTTGCTAGGAAAGAAATTCTAGCAGAGAATCAAAGTCCAGGATCAGGTGCCGAGGGCTCCGGGTCGTGACAGAGCAGTTCAGGGAAAAGGTGCCGGCAGACTGGGTCAGCATTCCTGGATGCTCCCCGAGGCCCTACCACCTGTCCCAGGGCTGCCCTCTTGGGCGTCTGCGCGAGTTTCCTCCTCCTAGGCGTGTCCCGAGAGAGTGGGCGGCTCCTTTCCTGTGAGCAAAGTCTTACTTTCCCCCTCGCCGTTCCTCCTCCCCTTCCTCCACCAGCTTAGTCTTTCTCTTCCCTTGGGCCACTTCCTTCTTCAGCCTCTTCCTCCCCAGTGCTCGGAAGCCGAGTGCCCTGACCAGACGCCCGCGGCACCAGTACTTCATCAAAGAAGGAACTGGTCCAAGGTGAGTCCCGGGAGGACGTGACTACGCGGAGAGGCTGGGCGGGAGCATCGGCGGATGCCGAGCCCCGAGGTGATGCAGGGCTGCGGGTGGAGGGCGCAGACCACAGGGACCCCCTGTGCGCTGTAGCCGGCGGGAGCGCGCTGGCCCCGGGTTCCCGTCGCCCCACCTTGCCAGCACCCCACTTCGCCTGCACACTTCCGCACTTGGCTTACGTGATACTTTGCCGGCCGGGGGCGGACCGGGAAACTAGCAGCCGCCAGGAACCGATTTCTGCCACTCAGCGAGGTGTCGGTTTTGCACTTCGCGATGGTTCGGTGTCGGTTTTGCACTTAGCGATGGCTCCGTGTCAATTCTGCAGGGCTTGGGCGAGGAGAGAGGATGCCCCAAGAAATGAGGTGGCCTCGGGACCGTGCCTTCTGCCCTGCGGGGAGTGGGTGCGGTTCTGTTTAGGCCCGGGGTGGGAGTGAGTGCAGGGACCCCAGACTCGGGGAGACCCAGGTCCTGCCCATTTTCGACGCCCGCTCTGGGCGCTCGCTCTCGGGGTGCGCTGGCGGTGGGGGGCCTGGGCCAGCGGCGCTGGTGGGTGAGTTGCGGAGACAAAGGCTTCCGGGGACGCGGCCCATCGCTGAACCTTTGGCTTCCCTGGGTTCTGCAGCCCTGCGCCAGTCACCAGTTCAGCGACGAGCGCGTGTGGGCCTGCAGGCTCCAGAATTTGGGTACCCTTATGTGGCAAGACCCCAAACTTGGAGGCCGGATGACCAAATATGGAGTATGGCCAGCGAAGTGGGAGAAAGGAACCCAGTTATCCTTTGACCCGCTGCAGACAGCTGGTAGTGATAGAGGTGGGGCAGGAAAAGCGCCCAGCTCCTGTGTAAAGTTGCCTGCTGATTCCCAGGGGCTTTTATTTTCTTGGCTGTTAGAAAAATCTCCATCTGTTGCCTTCAAACTTAAAAAAAAATAATAATCACTAGAAGAGGGGCTTGCAGAACTTTCCTACATTGATGGTATATTTCAGTGTATGCCACAGCCTTTCTAGTGCCCCCTTTGTGAGTCCCACGCACACAGCCTAATTAGATTCTGCAGCAGAAGGCGGGGGTAACATCTGTCACTGCCTTCCATTCTTATGGCCGAGCCTCACAGGGACAGTCCCTTCTTAAACTTGCACTGCTTATAATCTCTCATTGTTCTCGAACTCCCTCACTGTAGTCACAGGTTTCTGTCCTGCTTACAGAATGTCCTCCAAGGATTGTATAACAATGAGTATACCCACCCCCCCCAAAAAGGCATACAAATGCCAAGTTATGTATGTTCGCAGTAGTTTTAAACCTATTTTTTTCTTGTTC